GTTTCATTTGATAAGTCTGGGATAAGCTCCAAGTGTCTGTATTAACTAAATGGTGGTTCAAACGAAAGGGAGTCCAGGTTTCTGAGGAATACTCTCACTGAGAATTGCTGCTGTCTTTGGTGATGAAAGCTCCAGGTGCCCCCCCCCTTCTGCTCTGGGTCTTCTGCTCTTCAATTCATAATTCAGCATGTCCTCCTCAGCTGGCACCAGCTATGCTGAGACTTTTATGAGCCTACAGAGTGGCTCTTCCCCAACAGAACTGCATCCAGTTTGCCTGGCAGGTTCCTGGCCCCCTCCTCAGGATGCCTACCCAGTGCTGAGAAAGGAAGCATAGTATATATTTCTAAGAAGATCTGAGTAAGGTGGTGCTACTGGACTTGGACATACTTTGAGAGCCATTGGGGAACAGGATGAGACCCAATATTTAAACTTTTCCCCGGAAATACTCTGGGATTTGATCTCTCTCTCTGTCTCTGTCTCTCTGTCTCTCTGTCTCTCTCTGTCTCTGTTTCTCTCTGTCTGTCTCTGTCTGTCTCTCTCTCCCTCTCTCTGTCTGTCTCTCTGTCTCTGTCTCTGTCTCTGTCTCTGTCTCTCTCTCTCTCTCTCTCTCTCTCTCACACACACACACACACACACACAGAAAGTGAAAGAGAGAGATGGAAAGTAATGGCTTCCCAAACTGTCATTTCTCTTAGAACAGGCACCCAGATGTTCAAAAGAAAATATTGGAAGTGAAGTGCTTCCACGTTTTAACTTTCTGGAACAATAAATAGTGATAAAAGTTGAAAGACAGGTTGAGAGTGCTCCTTAAGTTGTACTCGAAACCCAAGCCCACCCTTGACTTCCTGCCTCTCTCTCTCTGGGAAGTCCCTAAGTAGTATAGCATTGTTCTCCTCCTGGGTAGGAACAGATGATATTGCCAGACATTCCCCCTCCCCGAGGCCGTCTCAACACAGAAAACCTTCAGGCTCTTATGCCTTGTTTTCAAATTTCTTACAAAGAATGCTAATTGTTACTCAAACTCCTCAGAGACAACCCACTTTCCAAATCATCCCCTTCTACCATTCAGATTTCTGAGTTAAATGATCTTCTCCCAAGGGTTGGTTTCAAATGTTAATGGGGCCAGGTTGCCTTGAGATGTCTAACTTTCATGTGATCTAAAAAATTAGTTATCTTTCAAGGCAGGAGCTAAGTAGGGCACTATTGGATGCATCCCAGGTGATGAATACCAGTCTTCAGACTGCTACAGAAAACAATAGTTCCCTCCCTCTTGGATGCTACCTAATCTAAAACAGAGGTGCCCTAATCCGTTTTAAAATTCATAGGTTCACATGTGTGTGAATCCCAGAATCACCAACTGTATAGCCATGGGTAAATTATTTCCCTGTCCTTCCAAACTTCAGTATTCAATTATGTTAAATAGATCAGCAATACAAGTCACAGGATTATTGGGAACATCCAACTATTGTTATATTAAGAGATCAAAGACTTTGCTGGAATGTGGTAAAATTTTAGTGGACTCTAGTGTAATTATTATGCAGTGAAAGGAAATTACTAAAAGGACAATTTAATTCTGTTTTGAGATGCCCAATGCCAACACCTGTAGTGATAATATTATTTATGATGTATTAAACCTTGCCTGAGGATTCAGAAAGTAAAGTCAGCCACAAGCCATAGAAGTCATGCATGCAATCTTTAATACCAGCAGCCAGAAACTAGGAGGTGGTGATACACACCTTTAATCCTAGGACTCAGATTAAGAGGTAGACAGATCTCTCTGAGTTCAAGGCTGCCCAGGGTCTAAAGAGTAACAGATCACTTGCCTTTAGTCCCAGAACTAGAGAGGTATGAAAGATAGAAGCAGGATCTTCAGGGTTCAGTAGAGGCAGCCACACTGAGGAGAGAATTTGAGACTTGGTGAAGAGTTCGTGCATGGATCAGCCCTTTCAGCCTGACCTAGAGGTGAGAGCTAGTGGCCAGCTGCTTTGTTTTTCTGATATCCATCTTGAAGTTTGAACCCCAGTATCAGTCTCTGGATCTTTTGGGGGTTTTTTTGTGTGTGTTTAAAACACCAATGAATAAATATAATATTTTCCTTGCAATAGAAGAGAACTATACTGAAAATGCAGAGATGGAGAGCACATGGTGACTGGAGATGGTGACAAGAAGGCAGTTGGGGGACATTGTGGTGATTGAATTGTTTGGTACCAGGATCACAGTGGTCTTTACATATATCGACACAGGATAAAACCGCATGGGATACCCAAGTATAGTGTGTAAAATATAACCATCCGGGGAAAATGAGTGGAGGGCAGGCCAGATCTTTTTGCATTGCTCATGCACATGCACATTAACCTGCAATTCCCTGGCTATGACAAATTAAAAGCAAAAGGTACCCATCTCAGTCACTGTTCTACTGCTGGGAAGAGACACCCTGATCAAGGCAACACTTACGAAAGAATGCCTTTAACTGGGGGCTGGCTTACAGCTTCAGAAGCTTAGTCCATTATCATCATGGCTTGGAGCTTGGTGCTGGAGCAGTAGCTGAGAGTTGCATTCTGCTCTGTAGGCCCTGAGAGTGGCAGAGAGAACCTGGGCCAGACATGGGCTTTTGCAACCTCATAGGTTCCACCCCCAAACAAACCCACATTGATATACTTCCTCCAACAAGGCCATATCTCCCAATCCTTCTAATCCTTTCAAAGTACCACTTTCTGGTGACCAAGTACTGCACTATATGAGCCTATAGGGACCATTTTTATTCAAACCATCACATCCCACTCCCTCGCCCCTATACAGGTGTATAGTCATATCATAACTCAAAAAATGCCCTCAGTTCAACTTCAGAAGTCCCCACAGTCTACCACAGTCTCAGCACCATTTAAACATCCAAAGTTCAGAGTCTCTTCTGAGATTTATGGCGTTCTTTTAACTGTAACCCCCTGAAAAATCAGAATCAAAACCAGAACACATACTTCCAGTATACTATGGCACAGAATATACATTACCATTTCAAGAGAGAAGGAAGGGGGCCCGGCGATGAAATTCTGAACCAAAGCAAAATCAGAAGCCAGCAAAGCAAACTCCAAATTCCGCGTCCCCATGTCTGATGTTAAAGGGCTCTTCGGGTTGCCGATTCCTTTCAGCCTTATTGGCAGCAACAAACTTCTCTCTCGTGGGCTGGTTCCACACCTGGCTTGCAGCTTTCCTTGCCACATGCCCTCCATCCTGGGGACTCCAAGGCTTCACCTCCACAGCTTCACACAACGGCCTCTCTGGGTCTCCGTGCAAGGACACCCTGACACATGCCTGACCTTGGCAGCTTTTCGTACTCTGTGGAGGCAGGTTCCAGAACCATGCAGACCAAACTGCCACCCTCTGATGCTCGATGGAACTGGAACTTGATGCCGCCCTTTTCAATTACGTTTGCATCGGCTTTCTGGTTTTGACGCTTTCCTTCACTGCCTAAGCTTCTCATTGAGTCCTTTTCACAAGCTGGAAGCTTAACTGGGTGGGGTCTAGCCCTGAGGTCCCCACTCCCTCTATTCCATTCATCGTCAGGCTTTTCTTAAAACCGTTTATCTCCTTGAGCACTGGGCTTGGCTCCAGTCACTTCCTGGTGCTCCTTTCTCCTCACACTGTACGTTGGGTTTCTCTTTGTCCAGTCCGCTCCCTTTCATTACAGATTTGTCGAGTTGTTACTAATAACCACATGGCACGGTCTAGACTAGGCCGTCTGGAAATCCCCGCTTCTATTCAGCCTCTGGCAGATTATTTGGACAAAGGCAGAAAGTAGGCACTTTTTTTTTTGCCAAAAATGTCACAAGAATGATCTCTAGGCCATTTCCTAATATCCCATCCTCTGAAACCACTTGGTCGGGACTGACGTGATCTACGTTGCTCTTAGCACCTCTGTCTTCCATACCTCCTACTAGGATGGCCCGTAAAGCCGTGCTTAAAGGGTTCCTCTAACCCAAAGTCCACATTGTGCCAATAGGCAGCTAGGTCAGGCCTGTGAGCAATGCCACACCCACTGGCTTCACGGCCACGCTTGCCCCTGAGAATCGCACTTCCTCCAACAAGGCCGCACCTCCTCATCCTTCTGACCCCACCAAAGAGCTCCACTCCCTGGCGACTAAGCATTTGGATATTTGAGCCTACGAGGGCCATTCTTATCCAAACCACCACAGAACCTATCTGAAATATCCCACCATTGTCACACTCTCTAAACAGATCATTTATGCTAAAACTCCATGGTCCTGTTGGAATAAACAGATCATTTATGCTAAAACTCCATGGTCCTGTTGGAACTCTGGCGTACGCTTCAGTGTTCAGTTTTAGCGACGAGGTGTGGGAAGTTTTTTGCTTTTTCACACCATTGCCCCTCTTTAAGACCACTCTCTCCTTCACCGAAGGAGCCCAGTGATGTAGCCACACTCGAGTGTGCCCCAAACAAGGTTCCTAAAGAGTACAGAGTTTGACGATTGGTGAGTAGTGCTACGTACCTACACTCCTAGCACTTGAAAGGTCAGAACAAGGGTCAGGAGAGCTAACAGTTCAATCCCATCCTCAGTTACTTGGAAATTTGGGAACCAGTTTGAACTACATGAGACCCTGTCACAAAAAAGAAAGAAAAGAGGACAAAGTTTGGTCATTTGTATTTTAAAATATCTTAATTGGCAGCAACAGTGTAGGGGCATCACTAAAATCCTATGTGTAATTAAATGAATGGGATCTGAGAACCAGTTGCCTCACGGGAAACCGAAATAGCCTTAACTTGGATTTGATGTTTGCAATAATGCTGTTATATTGTGTTCCAAAGGCACGGACCAGAGCCTGATCGTCTGGTGATTACTTGAACAAATGGACGTATGTGTGAATGAATGATCATGAAAGTAAATGACCAGAATAAATACTGTGTTCATCTTAGAATGTCAGGTTTTGATGAAGCAGGAGATCCCGGGTCACCGTCTAACTCCCCTCTTTGCTTCATTCCCTAGGCAGCTTGAAATCCACTCTCCAGATGCTAAGCACACAGTGGTCCTGAGGAGTAAGGACTCCGCCACCGCCCAAGCCTGGTTCAGTGCCATCCATTCCAACGTCAGTGACTTGCTGGCCCGAGTGATTGCAGACGTCAGAGAGCTGCTGGGGAAGACGGGCATTGCTGGCAGCCATGAGATCAGGCACCTTGGCTGGCTGGCAGAAAAGGTGAGGGGACCGTCTCCTCTGTCAGTTGTCCCTAGGTTCTGCCACTGAAATTAACTCCTTCTATACGCTGGTTCTCTCCGTAGCGGTAAATCATCTTGATTGTCTATCCCAATAGACCACATTGCAGTATGTGGAGAGTTTGTCTTAATCAACACTTATTCTCTAGCATACTTGTGTGGTCTCTAACTGTGCAATGGGCAAATGGGCAAGTTAATAAATAGTTTGATTTCTGAGGTATCCCTGTGATACGCAAGAAAAGCAATTCAAGTTCATAATACAGCATCTATGAGGGAGTGGAAATGATTGCTCAGAAGGGGTATATGTGGATTTTAATGAATCTGCTCATTAATTAAATAGATCCTGCAGGAATCACATGTTTGCAAATGACAGCGATGATATTGATAATGAGGGTTTATTAAGCAACTACTATGTTGGCACATATTCGTTTCCACCTTATCTTTTATTTGTAGTTTCAAACAAGCAGGTTTTCCATGTCATTCCTTCATGAGCACCTACTTTGTATGGGAGGCAGGTCAAGGAGGGAGTGGCAAAATTTATATTTAAAATGAATGCATGGAAATACTAAAAGAGCAAACAGTTCAAAAATTAGTTATTAGAATATATTTCACATGCAAAATCATGTGAGTGCAAACACGATATATAAATTTATATATATACATGTATATACGTGTGTGTATGTGTGTGTGTGTGTAAGAATCCATATGTATGTTTGACAATTCAATTGCAACAAGATGAAAATCTATCAGAGGGTTGAAACTGCAGAAGCTTTACTTTATGCTGTAAAAATATTTCATAAAGTCATAGCTTAGACATTTTAACAAATCAGGCAATTTTTTTTTGGTTTTACGAGACAGGGTTTCTCTGTATTGTTTTGGAGGCTGTCGGTCCAGCCTGGCCTCGAACTCACAGAGATCTGCCTGCCTCTGCCTCTCGAGTGCTGGGATTAAAGGCGTGTGCCACCACCGCCCGGCCAAATCAGGCAATTAAATAATGTAATGAGAAAGAACTCTGAAACAGAAATGGGTTAATGTGTATGGTGTCACTCTTTGGCCTTTATATAAATGATGGATTTAGAAAAATAGTCATTTTGCATATAATAATAATAATTTCATGGCTGTGTGTCATGGAGGGCAGCTGCCATGGAAAATGTTCTACATGTAATGATAACACTGTCACTCGGATTTCCTTTCCCAAAGTCTATGGTATGTCGGGAAGGCTTGAAGGATTGAGCCTTAGCCATTTTTCTTACATCTGATTGCTGTACCTTGAACCTGTGACACGGCTAGTGCTTCTGGCTTTTGTGAGCTCCCCATGATGTTGCAATCACAGCTGTCCTGCCAATAAATCCTGGCATCTGAGAAGGCCCAGGCACTTGGAAATAACACCTGAACAGAGCCATCGGCTGTTTTCCACCATTGTTCTTTGTGCGCGCACCTGTTCACATGTGGATCTGGGCCACAAAGTTCAGCGCCCAGTGAGTTGTTTGCTTTGGTGTTTTCCCATCTCTGGTGGACGGCAGAGAACTAGAGGTCAGTGTGGGTGTTAAGAGCGTCAGCATCATAAGCACTACAAGCCTCGGGAAGCCTTTCACAAGCTTGCTGGCTCAGAGGGTGACCAGAAGAGGGGGCAGCTGTGTGGCGGTGACAGGGTACTCAGAAGGGAAATCCACAGTGATGGAGTACTCCTGCATACGGATCTCTGTGCTCTTGGTAAAAATGTGTGTTTCGAGTCAGTGTTCTTCATGCAAACAGTGCAAGAAATCCAGACAGTTGGCATTTGTATAGTCACGGTTGCTAGCACCAGCCATCATTTCCTTTCTCAGGTGTGTTTCTCTTGGAGTGGAGGCCGGTTAGGCAGGAATCCTGAAGTTTCACATGACAGATTCTTGACTCTGCTTGAATACAGAGGGCTTTGTGCAGCCTGTGTCCCAGGATGAGCTTCCAAGGCACCCAGGATTCACATAACAATATCTGTCACACCTTTCCATCTCTGCTTTTCTATCTAGGTACTCTGATGATTTATTGTCAAAGGACTCAGCGCGCCTTGACCTGAAAATTCCAAATTTATTTTCTTACTCTTGGCTGCAGGAGGTTCTTGACCCATTGGGTCCCACTGCCTGTCTCAGTCCCAAATAAACACACAAAGACATATATTAATTATAAACTGTTGACTGATGACTAGGGCTTCTTACTGGCTAGCTCTGTCTAAATTATTAACCCATAACCACTAATCTATATATTTCTATATAGCCTTATCTTACTGGAGAATGTCTGATGCATTCTATCCTCCTGGTCTCTCCATGGCATTTTGTCATGGTCTTCCTCTGCCTACCTTTCCCAGAATTCTCCTCATCTCCTAGTTCCACCTATCTTCCTGCTTCTATTAACCAGTGTTTTATTCATCAACCAATAAGAGAAACATATATTCAGAAGGACATCCCCATCATCTTTCTGTCCTATTCCTTCCAGCAGAAGTCCTAATATTGAATCTAATTCAATTGTCTTGAATCATATTTTTAGCACCAGTTGCACTGAGCTCAGAATTAACCAAGTCATATCCACTGAGAAATAAAGAGGGGCTTTTTAATTTGGGGGTAGTACAATCTTTTTGAGAGTCTTTCTGGAGAGGCCCCACTGGTGGAGAACCTGTGATCATCCTGTCTCAGCCTCCCAAGTTCTGATGTGACAGGTGTGTGCCACCAGAAGGGTACAGATTTTTCTTCGAGGAGAGTGGCGTCGTGATTGTTCTGGTTTTTTGAAGTCATGTCTCATATAAACCAGTCTGATGTTGAATTCATTGTGTAGCCAAGGATCACCCAAACTTCTGATCCACAAGGATTACAGGTATGTGTCACCATGCCTGGCTTATGTGGTGCTGGGTATAAAATCCAGGGCTTTGTGTGTGGTCGGCAAGAGCTCTACCAATGAAACTCCAACCCCCAAAAGGATATTCATTCTTTTTAATGAAAAAATTACAATAATAAGTGTGTGGATTCAGAAGTGATGGAAGCACTTTATAGAAAGACAAAGAGAACCTATTGGGATGGAACATGTCTTCATGAGGTTATGGTCTTGAGTTAACATGAGTGGGCCTAGGAGAGTAAACAGAACACATCCTCAGTGTCCTGGAAGAGAGAGACAGGAATTCAAATAACGACTGAACCGATTTAAAGCAGGGGTAGCTGATGCAGTGTAGCCAAAATGTGGGAGCATGTAAAGAAGTACCCCAGAATGGACAGGGAGATGCTATGTTATCCTTTGACCTGAAGGCACATGGCCAGGAGCAGCAACTGAAACTACTAAGCATCATAGCTGTAGAAAAAGGCTGGCTACTCCCAACCACAGTCCACAGTAGATAAAGTCAGTTCCTGCCAACTCTTGGCTACTGATCAGTGGATGAGGCTAACTAGGAACAAGAGGCAAGGGATGACCACCGGTGCAGTCTGTTGATGTGAGTGGGCAACCCAGGACCCGGAGAAGGCACAAACTGGATCTGGCACATATGTGGGGCACACATACCCTCCGAGGACCGAGATGAGACTCTCATCTCTTCAGCCACATCTGTATTTAAAATCACTGCTGTCCAGTTAGTCAAAAAGTACCGTCGTATCAGTCTTAGTGGTACTGGCTAAGTTTCCAAAGGTTCCACTGTTTTCACTTAAAAGCTGAGTTATGCCTTTGGTTTATCCTAAATCATTAGTAGGCCATTATTAGGTGTTCCCATGGAGCAGTAATAAGAGCATATAAAACAGCTCTTTCTGTTTTGGGAAAGCCATTATTCTTACAATATAATTTCAAATAATCACTACAGCTGTCTCCTTGAGTGTATGCTTCACTGTATCTATAAGAAAAATAATGACTTATCATGGACAATTATTATAAGCAAGAATATCCTTTATTACTTCTAATTCCAAATTTCTCAAAAAAAAGATTACCATATATCAAGTCCAAGGGAACAAATCCAAACAAGACTCTTTTTTTGAATAGACATTTAATACCAAATTCTAGCATAGATTCATAGGGATGGCTTTTAGCCAAATACAATGAATGGCAAATCCTTAATACTGTGCCTTTCTTATCACAAATATCAGAGAATTTGCTTGGCATTTGTAAAGATATAAAATGTGATCCTATATATATCCAGCTGCAATTTACCTTAAATTGGTGTCCTTTGTCTTTCTCTATACTGTTAAGCTTTGGTTTGGAGATGAATAATGGTAGCTCCCTGACAAGGTTATACAAATCATATTTAATTTCAACGTTTTACAAGTGAGGCTTATATGAACTAACATAATGTGAGGCAACATCAATTTCCTTTGTAAAATCCTGTTCAGTGAAAAGCCTAAGACCTCCTTGACTCTCCATGGGAAGAAAACTGAATACTAACACTAGCCTCTTCTTGAGATAGTCGAGGGAGTTGAAGGATGACTCTTGAGAAACTATGAGATCTCCAGTGACTGGAGAGAGCTCACTGCACTGCCGGAGAGGACAAGAAGGAAAGTGTGGGGTACACAACAGTTCAGCTTATGGGGAGTGCAGAGGGCAGGACGAAGGCTGTTCTTCAAACAGATAACACTTACATTAATTATTTGTGCATTGAAGTCTTTTCAGCTATCACATTAGAAAGATAAGCTATGTTCTCATTCTCTGGATGTATAGAGAAACAATAATCAGTGGACTTAATGGAACCTTTGGAGTCTGTTGTGTGCACTTTGCATCAGACATTTTAATTGCCATGGAATCTTATTTGCAGGTGATTCCAAGTTAGATTTAAAAACGCAAAACAGCAACATAGCAAAGCAAAACACCCGTTTTTGATCCCAAGATGCAAGTAGCTTCTCAGTTTTATTATTCTCCTTTCAGATTCTTTCCAATGCAACTTCCTTGTATCTGTTCCTCCCCATGGTGTTACTGGCATTGGACATTGGTTATTCATATTATGTTTCAGGCAGTGTTTTAATAACTTCCATCCCATGAGGT